ATGTTGTCCAAAAATGAGAAATATGCTTGGATTCTGATTTTATTTTTATAAAAAAGTAAATATGTCGTTCTAACCCAAAAGGAAACAACAAATGAGATGCCGTTGGGGGGACCAAAACTCAATGTGTTGGTTTTGCAGGTTAATTTTTCAAAAAAGGAAAAGAAAACTCTATGGTATCCTGGTATTTTTTTCAAAAGAGGCCTGAAATAATTTTTTATGAAGTTAGATTAGATTGCTTTTTCTTAAAGGTTGAAAATTTTGGCCCAAATTTGGTTTTTCCGAAAAATTAAAACGTCAAATCAATCGATTACCAAGGGTAAAATAATCGATTATCTCAGTCCTTAAAGAAATTTGGATTTTGACAATTTGGCTCGGGCACATAATCGATATTTAAAAGTAATAATCGATTATCTTAAAGTCAACAGCGTAAAAAAAAAAAAAAAAATAAAAAAAAAACAAAAAAAAAAAAAAAAAAAAAAAAAAAAAAAAAAAAAAAAAAAAAAAAAAAAAAAAAAAAAAAAACCTTTTTTTTTTTTTTTGGTCTGTTTTTAAAAAAGGGGATTATGACAATTCAGGGGAAAAGAGTTATGGAGTATTATGCTCTTTCCATGTTTATGAAATTCAGTTTTAATTTTATGTTTTGAAAATGATCCTTTTGATAATTTGAGGGGGGGGAGATCTATATTTAGGGGGAGGGCCCTTTAAATCGATTCTTTTTGCTTCTGATCACAAAAGGGGGGAGAAGGAAATAATACAGGGAGGGAAAAGAGGGAAGTTATTAAATTAATTACAGGGTATTTGCTAACCCTTGTGTTGGTTTGGTTAGCTGTATGTTTTTGCAGAGGTAAAGCCAAAACTTGCTTTTTTTAAAAAATGAATTTTTGATTCATCACAAAAAAGGGGGGAGATTGTACCAATTAAAAGGAGGTAGTTGGTAAATCATCTTGGAAGAAGAAAAATTGTTTTGTTTGATGGCTAGAGTTTTAGTTGAAGACTGATTAGTGTTTTTCAATAATGTTTTATGAAAAATATTAAATTATTATAAAAGCAATTTTGTAAAAGAATTAATTAAATGTTAGTAGGAAATTTATAAATTAACTATAAACCCTTTGTTAAAAATTGCATTTTAACTGCAAATAATCGATTATGGAATGGAACAATAATCGATTATCAAGGAGAGTCATACAGGGAATAAATCGATTATTCTCTTCATATATAATCCGATTATCCACATTTTTGAAAAACCCTTGTAACGGACTTGAATAATCATTATCACTGTACAATAATGATTATTCATGGCAAGTGGTGGGAGGCTGTCCTTTGGCAAATCAGTGTACTTGGGCTAGATAGTTTTTGTTTTGGAGAATTAAGAAAATTAGAAAAAAAAACGTTTGTTTGAACAGAAGCTCTTGCAAATACATGTTTGTCAGAAGGAAGTTCTCAAGAAGCTATAGTTCAAGTTCCCTTGCTTTGGTCTTCTCGTTGAACAAGGAAGGAGGCTCAGGAGTGTCGTTGTGTCGATAGTCGGGAGCAAAGCTCTCTTCGAGGGTTAGCAAGGTTGCTTGGCTGTGGTTCTCGTGGAATAGGAGAAGGCTCTGTGTGGTTTGTTTTTTGGTCGGATAGTCAGAGGGGGGTTCTCTTCGAGTTGGCAGAGTTGTTTTTTTCTTCCGGTTCGTTCGTCGAGGAAAGGTTTTATTTTATCTGCTTTAGTTTCATATTTTCTTTGTAATCTTTTTTTGTTAAATAACTTTTTAGTGAGAAAAAGGTTAATCCCCTATTTATAGTGATAATTACGACTGGACGTAGATTCTTTTGGAATCGAAAACCAGGATTAAAAAAATTGCTTGTTGTGAATTTTATTTCCCTACACTCTTATATTTTTACGCAATATCAAATTTGTTTGATTAAATTTCTCTAATTGAAAAAATTGGTTTGTTCTACAAAAACGGAACCATTAAAAACTTGATTTTTGGTTGACCCGTAAAAAAAACACGCTTTCCGAAATTATTTTATTCCGCTGCGCGGGACTCTATAAAAAACGGTTCTGACCGATTGTTCCAAACAAACGGGTCGGGTCGGGCAACGGATAGTGCCTAACCCACAAACCCGACCCGACAAAAAAAAAAAATGCCAAAACACCTGTTACCGATCCGCTACCCACAGGGTTTACGGATTATCTGCCTAATCAAAAAAATATCCGTGGATATTTTAAAAAACTCGCGGATACCCGGGTGGATACCCGCAGATACCCCGCGAAATACCCGGCCAAATATTTAAAAGAATATATTTTTATAAATTATTAAAATAAAATTGCAAAAAATATATAAAATATAATATAAATTAAATGAAATATAAATTAAAATTTAATTTTAATTAAATTTAACCTTATAAAATATAAACTAATTTTAATTTTAATTAAATTTAACTTAATAAAATATAAATTATTTTATTATTTTTATTTTTCGCGGGTAGCGGATATCCGCGGGTGCGGATAGTATAATACCCCCACCCGACCCGTTTATAAGCGGGTATTAAAATATCCGCTACCCGCAACCCGCGGGTAGTAAATATCTGTGGGTATTAACTATCCGTCGCGGGTTTTATTCAACATCTCTTCTACAATGTTTCCTTTTCTTGAGCTTTCCTGTGCTTTTCTTTTGAACTCTTTTCTTATGATGAATATTTTCGTTGTATGATATCCTTTTTATTCTTCATCTGAATGATCTTCTATTTAAAGGCTCTTGGAGAAATGTACGTTAGACTAAGCTCTTGCCCTTGATTATTATGTCTTCTCTTTCTTTGTTTACAATAGTTGTTGGTTAAAGTCAACTTGTTAGAGTATACTTGCTTTTTCAATACTTTGCTTGAAGTAGGCTGTACTTCCTTTTAGACATCGCTTCTCAAGTAAAGAACATTTCGTGAATATCACTTTTTTCTCTAACATCCACTTTTAATTTTTAAATGAAGCATGTGGATGCATGTAGAGTAGGTTATTTACAAAGAATATAATATATTGTGCATGCATCATATATGTCTTATCTCTTCTTACTTTTGTTGTTTTTGAACGTTATGCATTTAATGTCATTTAATGTTTGCTTATAACAACAAAGTGTTTTTCATTTTCTACCATTGAGGTAGCTTTTAACAAAGCTTTTCTTTTAAAGATACCAATATTACAAGGACTCTGATATACCTGATAAAAGAGGACGGTCACTTCACTTCATGAGAGACAAGTTTTTTTGGCAAACCCAAGTCACAATAGTATAGTAGAGTAACTAAGGGATGAATTATGGCTCATCCATCTCTATTTAACTTCTAAACCTAATGGGTCACTCCAATTCCATCCAAGCACATGGATTTTGCACCCTTCCGCAAACCATTTTTGTTTACAAAAGCCTCTATTACAAACACACAAACATAAATTTGGATTACCGATTGGTTCAATTATAAGACAAACTAAACACTCTTTACATACCTTCTAATCATGAAAAGACTAGAGGACTGGTGTATTGTATTAGACAAAGACTTATTGGTCCTTCCATGTAATGTTTATAGCCTCAACAATAGAATGCCAAACATCATGGACTAGATATCATAAGGATGCATGGATGAACTTGGTCAAAAGGTGAAGCTCGTTTGACAAGTAATTGGACTAATGGACTTCAAGCTGATGGGCCCACATAAGTTGTGGCCATCTAGTTGAACCCATGCTCAATGGGGTGAAACATTTAAATAGAGTATTAATGATAATTTATAATTCATTTTTGTATTAATTGAGATTTGACTAAAATTTTTTGACTAAGTACTAATTCCAGTGTTGGAGAATCTTTTGTTAAAATTCCTTTTTGTGGTTGTAGAGTGTTGGAGGATAAGCACCTAATAGTGAGGAATGCAGCAAGTGATAACAAAATCTTTATAAGATATATTTGTTCGGTTATGAAAGATCAATACTCATTTTGATATTTTATTTATATAATGAGTATCAAATGCAAGTTTTGTACTCTATTTTTATTTAATACTTTGTCTATAATGATAAAATTTATAAGAAAATATTCATTAGATATCAAAGTCGTATGTTCAGAGCAAATGATTAAGGTGTAACGTCAGTTAACTACCCAATTGGTATATATATTATAGATTCAAATGAAATTTTAACTAGCCAGTAGTTATCGCATATATGAAAGGCGTGTTACAGGTCGCTTACATATGCATAATAAAAAAAAAAGTCGTACAAAAACAAAATATCATTGGCCAACTAAGAAATTAACGTCTTACAGGAAAAAATATCATCGATAACTAGTATTCATTATATCGAACTATTTTTAATTATTGCTTTCTCCGTTTCTTGTTAAATTTTTGAAAATTTTGTGTTTGAACTATTATTACGAAATTGAAAGTCATATTAATTATTCTTTTATCAATTATAGTACTATAACAAAAAAAAAGTGTTTCTTAATTTCTATAAAAGACAAGATGAAAAGGAAAAAAAAAATGCGAGTAGAAACTATTAATATTGTAAGTGTAAAAACTAAAAGTATTGTTGATATATATAACTTACTAAAGATCTATTTAATAATTAGAATGTTCGTATGTTTCTGGATATTTGGAACAAAGTGTCAAGTATTAATTGTCCAAATTAAAAAGATTTAATTAGTTATATAAGTTTAACAGATTTTTTTCTATATACATACACATGTCCATTTCAATCCGACTCACATCTTACGTTGCTCTAGAAGTTGAACTTGAATAATCATACATTGAAGCAATCTCGTCAACTTGACCTATAAAAACAACTAAACAATATAGGCAGAAAATAAACTCTTATCTAAGCAAAAACTCATAGACAATCTTATCCTTTTGTTTACTGATTCATCTCGACCATAAGAAAATAAGGGACTTATGGTCGAGATGAATAAAAGATTCTGAAAACAACATATAGTTAAAGATCACAAAAGGCTACGGTGTTGACTTGAAATTTAAGTTAGTTTCGATGAAGAACCAAAGTATACGTTAGAGACTCTCAGGTTCGCAGATTTTACTAGTCATACTCCTGCTTAGTCCATATATTTACATTATCCAATAACCAAGTTCCACAAAAGCTTGGATACAATATGGGTGTTATTCATGCTTTTGTGATTATATTTGCATGCATGCTTGTTCTCTCACTAGAAATTTCGGGAGCAAATGATTCAATCAACGTGGCCCAGTTTCTGAGGGATGGGAATACTTTGGTATCAAAAGGTGGAAAGTTTGAACTTGGATTCTTCACCCCTGGTAGTTCCCAGAAACGTTATCTGGGAATTTGGTACAAGAATATCCCAGTTACGACGTATGTTTGGGTTGCTAATGGGGCCAACCCTATCAATGATTCCTCAGGCATCTTAACAGTGAACACCACAGGCAATCTTGTTCTCACCCAAAATGGTTCTCTTGTTTGGCACTCCAACAACTCTCACAAACAAGCACAGAATCCGGTGGTAGAAATGTTGGACAGTGGCAATCTTGTGATAAGAAACGAGGGAGAAACAAACCCAGAAGAGTATTTGTGGCAAAGCTTTGATTATCCATCTGATACACTCTTGCCAGGGATGAAGTTAGGATGGGACCTCCGAACAGGTTTGGAACGGAAATATACAGCATGGAAGAGTCAAGATGATCCATCCCCAGGTGATGTATCTCGGGTTTTGAAACTCTATAACTATCCTGAGGTTTATATGATGAAGGGTACACAAAAGTTGCTGAGGTATGGACCATGGAATGGCGAATATTTTAGTGGAATGCCTGATCTACTGAATAACACCATTTTCGGCTTGAGTTTTGTCAGCAACGAAGATGAGATTTACTACACGTATACCCTCGTTAATGATTCTGTCCCCACCAGAACTGTTACAAACCAATCAGGTACTATTGTTCGTTATGTGTGGAAGGAGGATGAGAAAACATGGAAAACATACAGAACGTACCCGAAAGAGTCTTGCGACCATTATGACACCTGTGGACCTAACGGATTATGTGTACGAACTCAATCACAGCCTTGCAATTGTTTGAAAGGTTTCAGTCCAAAATCACCACAAAATTGGAACTCATCGGATTGGAAGGAAGGATGTGAGCGCAATAAAGCGTTGAATTGCAATAGTGATGTGTTTCTCATATTTAAAGGGCTGAAAGTTCCAGCCACTACAGATACTTGGTTGAATAAGAGTATTGATCTAAAGGAATGCAAAGTGAAGTGCTTGAAAGATTGTTCTTGCATGGCCTATACTAATTCAGATATCAGAAATGGAGGTAGTGGTTGTGTCTTGTGGTTTGGAGATCTCATTGACATGAAACAGATTGAAACTGGTGGACAAGACCTGTATATCAGGATGAATGCTTCGGAGGCAGGTGAGCAGCATCAGCTTTGATCTTTTAATTTCGATTACTATTTTGAAAACTGAAAAATGTTATTCACTTTAGACATGACTGTTTTTGTTTTTATAATCAATTCCAACACTCAAGAACCTGGACCGAGCAAGCACACACTAACGATAGTTGCTTCTACCGTTGCTGCAATTTGTGGTGTTCTTATACTTCTAAGTACGTATATTATTTTCAGGCTCCAGAGGAACAAAGCTGGTGAGTAAATCGTTTAACATATCACTTCACTTACTCTCTACTGTTATTAGGATAATAGTCAACCAACAATTCCTTCACAACATGGCACTTACTTAGATAAAATCATGTAAAGAAATCATTGGGATTTTTTTAGATTAACTGTGTTCCTTTATCTGCTATATTATACATTCCTTTATGTGTAAGAATTTCATGCACAGAAGACTTAAGTAAAAGACATGTGGATGATCTGGATGTCCAACTGTTTGATCTAGTAACAATTGGAAAGGCGACTAATAACTTCTCCACAGAGAATATAATAGGAGAAGGTGGTTTTGGACATGTATACAAGGTAACTATTCTTTAATAATCATCACTACAATCAAAGAAAATAACACTGTTAAATATTTTCCCAAGTGTCTACTCATGGCAAGAGTATGCAGGGCATAATTGACGGGAAAGAAATTGCTGTAAAGACTATGTCAAGAAGCTCATGGCAAGGTGTGACAGAGTTCATCAATGAAGTAAACTTGACTGCAAAACTTCAGCATCGGAATCTTATTAAACTTCTTGGTTGCTGCATTCGAGGAGAAGAAAGAATGCTCATTTATCAGTACATGGAAAATGGCAGCCTAGACTCCCTTATTTTTGGTAAGAAAAATGAGATAAGCATAAATTGGGTTGCTAATGCATTGGTGAAACATGCAGATTACTGAAATAAAAAATTTTCCAAAATAAACAGATGATAAAAGAGGTAAATTTCTGGAGTGGCCTCAACGGTTCCAAATAATTTGCGGAATTGCAAGGGGCCTTGTGTACCTTCATCAAGATTCCCCACTGAGGATCATCCACAGGGATCTCAAAGCTAGTAACATCTTACTCGATAAATCGTTCAATCCGAAAATATCAGACTTTGGTGTGTCGAGATCTTTTGGAGTAGACCAATTTGAAGGAAGCACAAGTAGAGTAGTGGGGACCTGGTCAGTGTGTGTTTATCCTAAACCATTATTTTTTCTGTCTTCACAAATATGTAAAATTGTTCTTCATGCATGAAACAATCTCTTGCAGTGGGTATATGGCGCCAGAATATGCAGTTGATGGATTATTTTCTGAAAAATCTGACGTATTTAGCTTTGGAATTTTGGTGTTGGAGATTGTCTGTGGGAAGAGAAACAGAGGACTTTATCAGACAGATAAGAGTCTTAACCTTGTTGCTCATGTGAGTTCTTGAATTAATATATTTTTATTTTTCGTGTTCGTTTTGCTGAAATTTAACAAATATTTATCTTTTTTCTAATGCTTTTATTACTTTAAAATAGTCATGGACATTATGGAAAGCGGGCAAGGCAATAGATTTCATTGCCTCGAACATGAAGACATCATCGTGCGTTATGTCTGAAGTACTGCGTTGTCTCCATGTCGGTCTTTTGTGTGTGCAACAGTACCCAGATGATAGGCCTACAATGAAGTCTGTGATTCTAATGTTGGAGAGTCACATTGCACTGGCTGAGCCAAAAGAACCTGGTTTCCTTTCGAGAAATGTGTTACCTAAAGTTTTAGGCTCAAATATGAACGACACAAGTTCAACCAACGAAGTGACCATTACTCTGTTAGAACCTCGATGACTCATGAAACATTACTTAAACATAGCTATAGCTATAGGAGGATATTTGTAAGAACTTATACTACACTTTTACCCACCCATACCCGGGTTATTGCACTCTTGCGATGATATAAATCGGTTTGTTAACAAAAACCACAAAAACAAAAATTAGATTTAAAACCTTGATCATATAACTAGTGCATTGATGAGATACGACCATGGTTATTATTTACTGTTGATAATCGTTCACGAACTTAGACATATTCATACGAAATAATAAGAGGGAGAATTTTCTACCTCATTTAAGAATCGAAGCAAAAAAGTTGAGATTTTGATTATAAGAAAACTAAAGCATTAAGCCAAAAAAAATAAAAAATAAAAATAATTTGGGGTTTTTGGAGTGGTTCTATAGATAACCGTAATTATAGATCTATCAGATTTTAAATAATTATTTAATTTTAAATAGCTATGGTAGCGATTCTAAGAAGAATAGTTATTCCGGATCCTTAAAACTAAATTATTATTTAAAATCTGATAGGGTCTATGACCTTAATTGCTTTTGGAACCATTGTCAAAAGATTTTTTTGCTTTTGTTATTAGGACAATAGCTGTCATAGGCCAAATATTATTAAAAATATTTTTTTAATATAAAGGTCTATGGCTCAATTGAAGTCAGAACCGAAGTCATAGACCCTTTTTTTTCTCGGTTCTTACCACACTGCTACCTAAATTATGTGTTTTTTTAAGATGGTGTTGTTTTTATAACATCCTACGTCACACAAAACAGACCTGCATATGAAATAAAGTATGTACAACACAAAAATGTAGACCATATTTTTCAATAAAAAAACATAAATATAACCATAAATCAACTCAATTTACAAATTAAAACATGTTAATCTACAAATTATTATATCTTAAAGTCATAAGAAACCTATTGGTGGTTTAGATAACATGTTTGACGTCAAATGGGACTGGAGTTCGACGTCGACGTCATAATGAAGGTGATAGGGGTTACTCAAATCCATAATAGTTGTGCAGTTCCCTACGGTGTTTGAATGTTGAATTCGGCTGGGCTTGGATGTCAATACTGGATAGTGGATAAGGGCAGTTAGTAGCCATAATTACTATTGTTACCATGATGAACTACTTAGTGAACGTCGAAACGTCAATTATTCTTCTATAAATATCACCCATTTAACTTAACCTCTTACAGAACTAATTGTTTCCCTATTGAACATATTAGGATCCATGTTTATTATTTCCTTTAAATTTTCTTTTCCTTAGATTTTAGAGCATTTCTCTTCTTTAAATTGCAATTTGTTAACTTGAATTTCAAAGTGGCGCGCATTCAACTTTAGTTCATATGAAGGTGCCCTTTGAAATTCAAGTCACCAAAATGTTTTTTATAGTATAGAAATGGTTAAGATATCTTACTAAAATGGAAGTTTTTAGAAAAATGAAACATGGTTCACAATATGTTTAATGCTGAAATAATTTTAATAACTAAAACAAAGCTCTAAAATAGTATCCATCTTTATCATTTTTTTGTGATTCATTTTTTAAATTGTCTACAAGTTGTTTTCTACCATTAGATTTCAGAGCTAACTGATATCTTAGGGTGAAAATTACTTGAAGACAAATTAATTGGTGAATCAATATACACATTTGACGTCGAATATTGTCTGCATCTAATGTCAACACGTTAGGGAAAGGGCAATTAGGACGCTTAATGACTGCTACTGTTACCAACCAAATATTTTTCTACAAAGACCATGCATATCACTTACCTTTGTTCCTAGAGTTGATTATGTTGTGATTGTTGATAGGGGGAGCACAGATTTAGCTTAACCCATAATCTCAGTGATATCTGAGTTTTTGATGATGACAATACATAATTAATAACACATGTGTATTTTGTGTTACATGTTCTATGTTTACATGTTATATGCTTTTCCTTAATGTGTTAAATCTGTTAAAGCATATCTAAGAACATGTTTGAGTTATGTTTGTGTTATTCATTGCATATCACTTTGTGAAATATGGGATTTTATATGTGTATGCATGACATATATTTTTTGGAAAAGAAAAATAACAAGCACTATGGTTGAACTTTAAATGTGTGGCAAAACAACAGTTTTAAGTCGATTACATTATGGGGTGAATCGATTAAAACTCGTGTGTTTGCACAAACTCTTTTGAAGTGTGTTGTGAGGCTTTTCAAAGAGAAAAGTTTTCAAAATTGTGCAAAAAGATTTCACTTAATCGAATGCATGCACTCTGTATTCGAATAAGTTAGTTGATGTTTTGAAAATCTGTTAAATGCTGGTAACAATTAACATAATGGTCATATTTTTAAACATGTTGACCAAACATTAAATGATAATCGATTGCATTAATTGTACATTCAATTATTTGTTTGACTGCTGCTAATTCTGTTATAACTGATTGTTATATTCGATTACGTTAGTCGCTCAATCGATTAAAATGTGTCTGATATGTGATATACTATAAATTGACGCAGATTTGAATTCTGTAAAAACTTTTGGTGATTCTAACAATTTCATACCATTTACAGAAAGTTGTGATCTTACAGAAAGAGAGGAAAAGCTCCAAGAAACAAGATTGACCGTGGTGATCAACAACTTGTGATTTCTTTAAGAGCAAGACTGTTGTGTTTCAAAGACTGATCAAATCTGCACACTTGGGTGTTACTGCGTGATCAGATTCTGCAATCTCTTGAAGATTGGTTTGAGTTCCCTGTTGTGACTACAGGAAGAAGAAGGCGTGTGTTCTTGACTTTGAGGGTGCCTCAAAGGGGTTAGACAACAGAAGAGGGTGTTCTTGTTGCTGATCTTGTTGTTGACTGCCTATATTAGATTAGAGGGTTAGAGAGGTGTTTTATATTTTTGACGTGAAGTCTCTATAAAAACCTTGTTGTAAAAACCTTGATCTTTATAGTGCATTGGCTTCTTGTACTTGGAAGGACACTGGATATAGGCTTGGCCGAACCAGTATAAAAACACAGCGTTTGAATTTTCTAATCCCTACTCTCTTTTATTCAATCGATTACTTTCTGTACTTATTCGATTATGTTTCAGCTGCATTGAAAATATTTTACCTTGCAATTCAAAAAAAGTATAAAGACATCATTTTTTGTGGAAAAGATTTTAAAAGCCTTTGTTTTTTACACTTCACCAATTCACCCCCCTCTTGGTGTGAGAAATTGAGTCATTCTATTTTAACAGATTCATTTTTTAAGTTTTCCACGAGTTGTTTTTAAAGGTTTAATGTCGAATTGTCTACCTGGCCGACGTCATATATCTTAGAGGATTTCTAAATGAAATCCATTTTTACAAAACATAGTGTCAAAAATGAAAACAAAACAAGAATAAATACATTACAACAAAACACAAGAAAAAAATCAAAACAAAACCAGCAAAATGGAGAATGTTTTTGAAATTCATAAGTGTTAACTTTTTCTTTTGGTTTTCCATCATACCTTCAACGTTAACAAAAACATTTCATAATGAAAATCAATCAACCATAAAGAAATGTCTTCATTTTGTTAAGGAGTTCATGGAAAACCAAAGGAAAAAAGTTAACATGAATTTGGTTATGAAAGCTCTATAGTGAAGCAAAACATTGGTGAATGGAGGTGTAGGGTTTTCAAAGGGTGAAACTCTATTTGAAATGAAATCCAAATATCTTAACTTTTTTCTGTGGATTTCTATCATATCTTCAAGCTGCACAAAAACTTTTCATAATGACGAGGAATCAACCACAATGCCTTGTTTTTGTGACCTTAAAGGAGTTAATAGAAATCCAATGAAAAAAATTAACAGAAGGATTTGGTTACAAAAGCTCTATAGAAAAGGAAAATTTTAAAAATGGAGGAGGTGTAGTGATTATCCAAGGATTCGAAAGTGTATTTAAAGAAAAACTATATTGTTGACGTCGAACATCATGGGACATTGACGTCTAATTTGGTTGACGTAGTAAAGAATTTTTCTGGGGGTTTGAGGTCGAATTTGGTTGGTATTTGACATCATATATTCATGGGGAAGGGCAATGAAGAGCCTTAATGGATGTTGTTGTTGCCAATGAAGAGGTTGACGTCGTATTTTGTAGGGGTTCGACGTCATATAAGCATAGGTATAATTACTAAGATCATTGTTTAACGTCGAACTAGTGTATGGTTTGACATCATTTCATTCCTAAATGATTGAATTTATTTACCATAATGTCACCAGTCATTGTTAACGTTGATTGTTCTGTTATTAGACGTTGACCGTATGACATTGTATGTTTGTTTGTACTAGTGGATGTTAAATACACTCAGAGGCTGACTTCAAATACCTTGGAGGACTTCTAAAAGAAAGTCCATTTTTTTTCAAAACATAGGTTAAAAAATGACAAGAAAATCAAAACAAATACATTATAGTAATAAATAGGGAAAAAAATGAAAATCAAACCTATAAAAGAAGCACGAGTTTTGAAATCCATATCTATTAACTTTTTGTTATGTGTTTCTATCATACCTTCAAGCATCACAAAAAAATTTCATAATGACGCTCAATCAAAGAAATGCCTTGCTTTTGTGAACATGAAGGAGTTAATAGGAACACAAAGAAAAAAAGTTATCAAAGGATGCAAAACTCTATTTGATTAAGAAAGCTCTGTTGGGAAGCAAAACTTTGGCGAATGGAGGTGTAGGGTTTTCAAAAGATGCAGAACTCTATTTGATGTGAAACTAAGTCTAATTAAATGACCATTTATATTCGTTTGTTTTGGATTGGACATTCGTTGTTTCCTACACCAACGTTATATGTTTCCTCAGATCATAGTTTGACGTCAAACGTGGGTGTAGTTGGTTGTTTCCTCATATTACAGTTTGATCATCGTAGGTGGAAACCACAACCACAACATGCAAGGGTGAGCAACTACAAATATCATAACACACAATATACAATAACATTTTAAACACATAATAACTAAAATCATAAAAATATATCATCACAACTTAGTGGTCTATTTCCTTTACACTACCACACCACTTAATCATCATAACCAATTTATTATGAGTCACACTACACCCTTTTCTCGTATCACCTAGCCAACGAAAACCTCTTTTTCGCATCACACGGCCAA